TAGATACGGACAGAAAAATGGATTCCCCGCACACCGAGTACACGACGCTGCCCAGGATGGGCGCCATCAAGGCAATTCTCGAAGAGGTGGGTTCAAAATTCCGACGGTCGAGATTGTCCCTTTCATCAGGTCGGACCGCGTGAGGAGGACGGCGATGAACGCGTCCTCGCACGTACAGTAAGCGAAGCTGATCAAGGACACCGTCTAGCGATCCAACAAATATAAGAAAGGTGATGCGTTTGCTATCGAATCTGACATAGTTCAAAGGCACTGTCGATGAGATCTAGGGCTCGGGGGCAAATCCGCCACTAATCCGCTAATCTCAAAGTCGGAATGGCGGGGGATTGTGTAGCAACTTTAAAAATGTCTAAAAAGACAAAGTATTCAACAGGAAAATTTACAGGAGGTAATATGGCAAAGCGACTATCACAGGCATAGGGGGTCGATTATTAAAAACTTAAAATTAATTGATGACAAGCTGCGGGGATTCGCTGCACCCGTATTTGTTTTGCTGGCTTCTAAACACTCTCCTCTTCAACGCCGCGATGTACGGGCCATGGACCTAGGTTGGATCGTAAGATTCGGAAAGTATCCAAACCTTGTCGATCTCTTCGCTCGTCGGGTTCTCATTCTTTCACACCTGATCGGGGCACCCATCACCGAGTTTATGGGGCGCCAAAAAAATTGAAAATTGGGTTTTAATACGCGATTTTGTAAAATTTTCGCAAATTTCCAAGGCTCCTACCGGTATGGCAAAAGTCCAAACGTGTAGTTGAAGACGCCGCGGCCGTGGAAGAACGGTGGGGAGAAGCCTCAGACACGCTTCATCCACGTTTGGAAGGCGCGAATTTGAGGCCCTAGTGGAATTTTTGGAAGTCGAAAACGCAGATACCTTTGGGTTTTCGGCCTGGGAGTAGATGTCATTTTCGCCAAACGAGTAGCACGGGACGAGGGAGGCGCTGCTTTGAATGGCCAAAACGGACGAAGCCCTTCCTAAAAGCTTCACTTTAATAAGAACGCTGCCAGTTGCCTGTTGTTCAGCGTCAAAATGTGATGTCCTGGGTGCGCGTTCAGGGCCTCTTCCACCGTCTCCCACCACCAGCACGGCTGCCCCAAATTCGCAAGTCAGGTAGTGGCCAAGAATCTGATACCTGTCCTTCTTCTCGCCCCTGAGCACGTGAGCTGAGGCTCTCCTTGCTGCAGCCGATGAAGCCGGGGAGGAGCCCGTATTCTCGCCGGATCGGCGTACCGGAACTGGCCCTCGAGCGTGCAGAGGCGGAAGCCAGAAGAGATTTTCAGCCGGGCGCAACTAGCGTTCAAGTTTTTTGGAAAAGCATATTTCTGAGGGTTTAAAAAAGTGATATGAAAAAGTCATTTTTTGAAACAATTTTTCATCGCAATTTTTTGCTGATTGTAGTCTTTTCGCATTTGTAGTTTGACTTACTTTTTCAGGATTTTGGTGTTCCAAAAAAATGGGATTTCTGAAAATATGATTTTTCTCGTTCGCTGGGATTAGCGCAATTCAACTCACAACGTCTGGGGGAAGAGCTGCCGGATTCCGGTGGCGTTCGAGCCAAAAGTTGACAAAAGCAGCCATCGAGATGATGGGGTGGATGCGAGTCGACCAGATAATTCTGGAAACAGAATATTTTTAGAGTCGAAAAGCTCAGGCTTACTGTCGAATCGTCCAACTCGGCCGTCTTGTGTAGCTTGACGGGGAAATATTCGGCGAACCACCTATGAATGCGCATATCGCGACACCAATTTTGGCAGTAGCGCGCGCCCCGGCGCGGGCTATCCCAGTCGTGCACAGCGGGTCCACGCATACAAAGTGCCAAGATCCACCAGTACGCCGAGAATACCTAGAGGAAACGTTGCGAGAAATCCAGCGATTTTACCAGATAAATCGGCAACACCAGCACCAGCACCACCGAGCCGAGCGGGAAGAAAAAAGTAAGGTGCATGATGGCGAACGCCTGCAGGCGCCGCCGGAGCGGGATGTTCAGTGGAGCGAATTTTTTACGCCCAGGAACTCGACGAACTTGGACATTGACTGAAAAAGGGGTTCGGGTAGCCGGATCTCATAATTTGCAAGATTTTCAAAGTATAAAAAATAGCTTATGACTTTTCGCAGGTTAAGTATGGGGACGAGGAAAAGACGGGCAATTTTTCACCCCTCCGCAGACAGTTTTTCGCTACTTCACGCAACCTGCTCCTACGCGGCAGAGATTTGGTGGGCTAAACGTGCAGGCACAGAACACACACGCGGACAGGCACTGATCGATCGGCGAGGGCACCCTCGGTTGTTGTTTGCGGCCAAAATTTCTGAACATGCGGGTGAGGGTGAGGAAGGAGACTAATTACTGCGGGTACGCGCCTAGGATTTCCAGCTGCTCATAAGAGGCTATCAGGCCAAAATGATGTAATAGCAAAAAAGGACATGGGGATCGTGACGCATTTTTCAGAGATAACATCTATCAACTTCCTTTAACGCAGACACCTGGCCGCCAATCAAGTACATCCTCGATGTGACGATCGCGTATCCGCATGGAATTCCCCTGACGCTGGCCACGATAGCCATGCGGGTACGGGGGAAAAGGCGATATTGGCGTCCACTACCGAGTATACGATGCCGAAGAGGTTAGAGTTTTTGCGAAACAAATTTTTAATAAAGCACACCACACTACAAAAACTAAGCTATACCTCTCGTAAACTGCTATGGCGATTCCGCTTCGTGCGCGTCGCCTTGCGCTCCTCGATCTCGGCGACGGTCATCTGAAAAAGAGAAATTTGGTGCTTTAAAAGGCAAAGAAAAACAAAGATAAAAATGGAATTTTTCGTGATGGCAAGCAATTCTCAAACAGATGGCGAATAATTATCCACCACTTTTCCAGGTGCCATTCGAGGATGACGACGCGCTGCGGGATTGGATGTACGCGCGCTACAAGGAGAAGGACGATATGCTCGGTGAATACTTGCAAATTGTGCTGCGAAAGTTGACGCAAAAACGAATAGACTCAGAACCAGGCGAATCGCCGAGTTTTTCTGGGGGGAACACTGGGTTCGCGGCCCTGGGCTGTGGGGGAAACCCCGATAAAAAATGGGGGCCGAGCTTGTGCGGGGGTGTGATAACGGAGTGCCCTTTGACCTCCGAAGGATCTTGGGAGCAACGGGCTCACTTGTTTACTTGCTTTTTTCAATAGGCGAGCCCCAGGGCGTACGTTTTGTGCTGAGGACACTGCAAATGAAGCGATCGTTAAAAAAAACTATCCCTTTTAGGCCGCTACTACGAGACTGGCGAGTTTTTCCACGGGGAAACCGGGCAGCGCGTCGTCTTCTCCTGGTCCAAGATTATTCTCCAGTACATCTTTTGGTTCGGCAGCTTTTACCTACAACTGAAGGTGAAACCCGCGCAATCGGTTGAAATCGTTTTTTAGATCTATTCGTGGCTCCTGATGCAACCATACTATTTCCTGACGCGAGGCGTTTAGACGAGCTGCCTCC